GAGGTCAGGAGATCAAGACCATCCTGGCTAACATGGTGAAACCCTGTCTCTACTAAAAATACAAAAAAAAATTAGCCAGGTGTGGTGGCTGCTTGGGAGGCTGAGGCAGGAGAATGGCGTGAACCCGAGAGGCAGAGCTTGCAGTGAGCAGAGATTGTGCCACTGTACTCCACCCTAGGTGACTGAGCGAGACTCCTTCTCAAAAAAAAAAAAAAAAAAAAATCTTAAAGTTCTTTTTGCAAGCAAAATTTCCTCACATTTATAGGGTTTAAATGTTGCAAGGAAAGTTGTAGAAAATAGAAGAGTTAAGTATTTATACCTGTAAAGTTGGAAGAAACATTGTATTTTACGGCCATTGCCACATTGGTGTCTTTACCTTCAAAAGTAGTTTTTAAAATAATAATATCTTGGCGGAAGTCAGTATCTGATTTTTCTGTGGTTCTTATAAATTATATAACATGGTTATCATCAATTATTTTCCTTCCTTTCTCTCAGTTTATTTCCAGAGTTTTAAAAATGCCATATTTTCCTTCCAAAAAGTTGCTACAGCCTTTGTTTTAAAACCTTTCCTCTAGTTTTTGTTTGTTGGTTCGTTTGCTAAACGGTAGACAAACATGTAAGGTCAGAAGTATAATTCAGGATCTAGGTTCTTTAGCCTGGTTATCCTGTTGGCCTTCAAGTATTAGAAAGCTTTAATAACCAGTTTTTATTTTCCCTTCGGTTGTCTTAAAACTCAACCAAGAAAAAGCAAATAATCTCACATCAGGAATTAAAGAAAAAAACAAAACAAACTTCAGCCCACATGTACACTTAACTAGTTCCTTCATCTCTGAAAATCTGTTAAAGATCCGTTTTTTTGTTTGTTTGTTTTTTTTTTACTGGATAGGTTTCTGTTATACTTAACGATAACATTTTGTTAAACTGCATATCCTATCCTGGGTCTTGTTGTGTTGTGAATTCCATTTTTTTGGTGGCTGTTGTGTTGAAGAGCCACTTTTAAAATCCAAAAAAAAAAAAAAA